ATCTTTGTCACTTTTCTCAAGAATCTTTCCACGTCTTCATCATCCAAAACTAGACAGTTTCAGGTGCAGCCTGACCAGTCCGAAGCAAAGCAAAACCATCACTTCCCATGGTCTTACCATTGTACCTCTGTTGACATAACAGAGTTCCAGACTGCATTGCTCATATTTAATTTGTGGTCTATCAGGATACTCAAATCTTCTCACAAGTACGTACTATTGCCAAGCTAGGTACTACCAAAGTGTACCTGTGCATCTGTGGATTTTTTTTTCCTATCTAAATGAAAAAAACTTTAATTTCTTGCCATTGAACAGCACACTTGAAGCTATTGTCCAAAGTTCAAGATGATCAAGAATGTCCACTGAATACAGTATTAGCCACCCCAATTCCCAGTCCTGTATTATCTGTAAAACTCTCACTTATTTACCAAAATGTTGAAGATACTCGGTCTGGGACAGAATCCTGGTACCTCTCTGCATAACTCTCTCCATATATAGGCCCATTAAGGAGCACATGTTGTGTACAGTTGTTTAACTGTGAATCTATCTGACACTGGAACCATCCAACCTATTAATCAGTTTTATCAAGAAGACACTATGACCAATTTTATCAAATGCTTTACACCTCTTAACTAAAAAAGACAGTCTCATGCCACCAAAGTATGGCAGCAAAAGAAGTACAACCTGCAGCTGTAAAAAGCTTTTCAACCCTGCCAGTATATTTCTTGAATATTCCCTTCCCTTTATTCCATATTTATAGTTTGCATTTTTTTTTAAAGAGCAATGTTGGCAAAATGATTGAAAGCCTCTGATGTAATTACTGTATTTCCTATTGCTGTCTTTTACGTATTCTACAGGATTTTGTTCATGCATACACATTAATCACGAGATTCAAAAATATACAATCCCTGACTAAAATAAGAGCACTCCAAGGTTACATTTTGACTTATGATTCACCTTATGTGAATCATAAGACAAGTGGCGTGCAAAGACTGCTTATGCATTCTGCCCATCAGCGAAGGAAACTGGGACAGTGGCATAGGCTAACACCTAACACAATTAAAATTATTCCATTTTATTTTCTACTAGGTTGAATGAACTTAAGATTTCATGGTTAGTTTGTGGTTCAGTGCATCATGTAATTCAGTGAAGTTGGACTGAGCAAATCAAGATTTTTCTAGGTATGAGTGCTATAAAAACAGCCATAGCTTGCAGCTTTCATTGGTTTATGTGCACAAAATTTCAAATAAAAATGTGCAATTGTAAATTGGGAGAAGCAAAATCCTGGGTCTGGTTAGGAGCAGTGGTACCTGCTGATAGAAAAGGAGAATAATTGTTTTACATGCAGGAATCAGCACATTATTTACAGTTGTTCCTGATGCTTTCATGTATTTGGCAACGAGATGGAATAGCTTAAAGAGGAATAGCTTGAACAGGTAACTAGCAGCTGTGAGTCTAGGAGGACCCCTAATGAACATATTTTCAGTTCATCTCTAGACTTAAGCCAGGGAACTTGTGGTTTCAAATGATATCCAACCTGTAGCCATTCCACATTATAGGTTTGGGCCTGAATGCTGCTGCCTATAACTTCCAGACACTGGGAGCTCAAGGAATCCCAAAATAATGGAGCATGAGCAGCAAACCACAGGACCTGGGAGCAGAGTTTCCAAAATGCATTATCCAGTGGTGTTATAGAGCATTTAAATCAGATGTGCTGCAAGAAAACAGTTCTTTTGACAGATAAAGACAATATTTTACAATAAGCAGAATAGTTTATTTTTTCCTATAAAACAAATATTTAAATCCAAAACAAGTTTCTTGTATTTAGCTAAATAAGATAAAAAAATTATCTTCATTCATATACAAACTAAGGATTTAAACAATTATATACAAAACAGCCAGATCTCTTAAAAAAGAGAAGTTCAAATTACAGTGGTGTAACTTTTATTACAAAACATTAAAGCTACTGGCTTCACATTTAATTTCTCACAGAACTAAAACTAGACATGGATATAAGACTGAAAAAAAGAAAAAAGTGAGAGTTTACTCAAAAGACTTCAATTGGTACAGTACATATGATCCATGAGAATGGAATGGATATATATATGTACTTTGAAAATACAGCTTGGATGACAAATGAAGTGGTATATTCTTGTAAAAGACTCCAAAATAGGAATCAGAACCTCCTGTTTCAGCTGAAGTTACTGCAGAGAATAGGCATTCTGAGCATAATCCTCAATTCTTGTAGTTTTCAAAGCTGAGGAAGCAACTTGACTGCTATAATTGCTATACTTTCATTCCCTTGCTTTTTCTACATTTTACCCACAAAACAGACTAGTGTGTAGTTCTGTTAGGCACAGATCTTTTCTTATCATGACTGAAGTGAATAATAAAAGCTGGTTACTGTAAAGGCAACCAAAGGACTATTTTTTTCAATTTACATAGGATTTTAAATGCATGAGTCACATTCTGCAGAAACGTCATTATAATTCAGAAGCTTTTTATTTTAATAGTTTACTAAAAAAAAATCTTCCCATTTTATTTGGGTAGTAAATTATATAGGAATGAGAACTCTATAGGGGGAATTATAAGAATAGAGGTTACAAAATTCAATGGTACAGAGTATCCAGTTTTATTAATTTGAATAGCAAACTGCAATGTTTCTAGTTTTCATGGCACATTTCTGTAAGCCACATTGTTTAACTAAGAGAAACTGACAAGTTTAGCTCATATGTGGTACCTGTCCAACGTTGCTTTATATAGAACATAAATACTTCAATTTATTATTTAACACAAGGGTCTTCAAACTTGACAGCTTTAAGACTTGTGGACTTCAACTCCAAGAATTCCTCTTCCATTCATGTTAGCTCAGAAATTATGGGAGTTGAAGTCCACAAGTCTTAAAATTGCCAAGTTTGAAGAGCCTTGATTTAATACTTCCTTCTTCAGCCCTGAACTTATACAAAAAGTTTGCTAATGGAAATAGATCAATTATCTTGGCTTTTCCAAAGTTCCAGGATGAGTCAATGGTATTAATGGAAGATAGGAAGAGAATTCAAACTGTTTTTGACTGAGCCAATAGTTCCATGTTCCAGGAAGGAACATGGCTTACTTAGAATTATCATTTTCTATGAGAAATAAGAAGGGCACGTCCCAACTCAATAACTCAACAATTTCCCACCTGATAGACGATAGACAAAGTTGTAGAAATGAAAATTTAAAACATCTACTGAATTGTGAACCAAACTGGATTATTCTTCCCTGCTCTGTGGAAACACAAAATACAGTACATATATGCAATCTGCAATTTGGTGTGTTCAGTATCAAACAAATGTTTCCAGATCTTGAGCAGCAAGGACATACTCATATATTTCCATTTTGTTCCTGTGGGAAGTTATCAGACTAGTGTCATAAATTATAGACATTCATCAGAATTGTTAGCTGTAGGCATAGTCTTCCATACACAAATACAATATTTCAATCATTCTCTACATATCCTCTGCAGGTCAAAAGAATCTCCGAGGATAAACATACTAGGCACACGAGGCTGTTGCAAGAATAGAAGCATTTCAAGTCCTTTTTCACATTCTGAACTCCTCTTAACTATATAGACCTCTCCTTGTAGTTTGGTTGTTACATTCCAATAATTTCATATATATTGTGGATGGAAAGGAAGATTTCTGTGGACATGATTTCTTATGAAACCTGAAGCTGTCACAGACACATTCCATCATAAGTTTCCCTTTATACAAATCCAATCTTGAGATTTTCACAAAGTGCCGTGTTTCCCCAAAAATACAACCTACCCCCAAAGTAAGGCCTAACTTGATTTTTTACACTGCGCCCAATATAAGCCCTACCCCAAAATTAACCCTAGTTAAGTCCCCGCCCACTCTGGGATGCACAGGATGAGGTGAGGCGCATGGGTAAAAATTAAGCTAAGGATATGAGGAGGTGGAGCTGTCCTACTTACCAGGCCTCGCACACCCCAATATCTGCCTTGGCTTGGTGGCCCAGTTTTGTGGCCACTTGCCGCTGCTTATGTGTATCAACCCCGGCCTCAGTTTTTCTGTCAGAGGCCTTCAGGAAAGGCTGAGAAAAGGGCTCTGGATTGACGTGTGCAGTGGCCCCTGGCCTTGTTTTGTCATCAGAGGCAAAGGCCTCTGCAGTCAAGAAACGGAAAGGCCATTCCAGAAAGGTCTCTGCATTCAAGAAATGAGGTCTGGATCGATCGAGAGATCTTTTATCAGCTGCAGAGGCCTTTCCCAAAGCCTCTGACAGTGAAACAGAGGCCAGAGGCAATTCACGCAAGCGGTGACAAGGGGCCACAGAAGTAAGCAGGCAGCAGGCTCCTGATGGGTGGGGCTGTCTGTGCCACTGTCAAAAGGTGAGTCAGTGGAAGACATCCCCTGAAAATAAGATCTGGTGGCTTTTTTTGTGGCCAAAAAATATAAACTGGGTCTTATTTTGGGGGAAACACAGTATCTATTCATGAAGGCAATTGTTTTATCACAGATGTGTTTTTTTTAACTAAATGGTATTTGAAATTAATGTGGGTCTCAAGATCTACTGATATGTTTATTTTTCCAAATAAAACACTTACGCCAGTTTAAATTCACAACTAGTACCACAGACCTTAGACAAATTCAGTTTGAAGTAGCAAACAATAAAAAAGTCCACAATTCCTTAACTATTTTAAATAACATTATTATCCAAAGAGATACTAATTTTTCCTGAACTGGCGGGGGTGAGGGGCTGACATTCCTTTGTTACCACAAAGTCTGAAAAAAAGACTGAAAATAAAAGATTTATGTTTTTTAACCTGATAGACATAACTGAAAATATATTAGCATTCATTCAGAGTTTACGATTCTAATAAAAATAAAAAACAAACGAAAAAATATAACACTGAGGAGTAATACTTTAAAAAAAGAAATAAAAATCATGGAGCTCTTAGAAGTTTCTAGATTAGATAAAGTTCATATTCCCTTTCAAATGCTGGAGCATAAATTTATTTGGAAATCACCTTTCTTTTTTAACTCATTTTCAAAGTTCATTATACCAATACGGCAAAATGAAAGTAAGGATTGTTTAACATCAAGTGGTTGTTATATATCAAATATGATGAATGTTTTTTGGATCAATAGATAAGATTAGTGTAAGGACTGATTTTATAATGTTTTTAACAGTTCAATGAAAAAGCAAAAATTTGAATTTCTATACCTCATCTAAGAACATGACGTCAGAATTATTGTCCTGTTTACTTGGGTTTTTCATACAAAATCTACTATACATTCTGATAGGTTAAACTAATACATATATTGTTTGGAACTGAACTGTAAACACTGTAAAATCTGAGTACCAATTTTATTCAAATCCGTTTCCCACTTTTCTATTGATTTGTAATACAAAGTTTAGCTCCCAGCTAAGTCAGGAATTCTCAAAAGCAACATGCAATGTATCTAAAATCTACCATTCATACAAAGCATGATCTCTTCATGAGGACTTCATTCAATGGCATACCTGAGTTAGAAAAGGTGCTTAGCCAATAGAAATAGAAATCCACCTACACAGTAGTCATAGAACAGTTTATTGTAGAACAGTTTATTGTAAGGAATGATGGAAATCTATTCTATTGCCAGGTTTTCCTCAGAAGTTCTGCTGGCGTCTTTTCTTTGCTTCAATGGCATCTAGAATTGGTTGCCGCTTTGATTGATACCTTTGTCGAACCTCTTCTATCTCCTGTTCCATCATGGGATCAAGTGTCCCAAGTCGTCTTTGAAGTTCATCAACTGTCCAGTTCCTCAACTAAAGAAAAACATAAGGCAAAATAAATTAATAAAATAGAGTGAACTTGCAACAGACAAAAAGGACAGATAGAAATGGAAAGATGGAACCAAATTAATGTTGCTAAAGAGTAACATGGAGGAATTTACTTTTGGCAAATAAGTGTAATGAAATTTACTGTTAACGCTACGTCTAATTACTGTTCCTACCTTCATCTGCCTTGCCAAAAATGCACTTTTAACCATAACCATTGTAATACCTAATTCCCAGATAGTGGGAATATTTTCCCTTTATTATATAAGAAATGATGCGCTACTTTGTCTTAATTCAGCAGAAAACAACTGCATATCATGTGCTATATTACATACTTCTCCAAGAGAAGACTTTATAATACCATGAATATCCTAAATTGTTAACTAATATTATTTACAGGTAAGTTCTTGACTTACGTCTGTTCATTTAACAACCTTCTGAAGTCATGAGGGCCTTGGAAAAAGTGACTTATGAGCTGTATTTGCATTTATAGGTGCCCAGAGTCATGTGATCACAATCGGAGTGCTTGGCAACTAGCTTGCATTTACTACTGATTGCAACATCCTACAGTCTTGTCATTACTGTTTGTAACTTTTTGCCAATCCCTGGGAAAACATACCCATTGGGGAACCTGAATTCGCTTAGCAACTGAGTGATTTGTGAAATAACCATTGTAATTCACTTAATCACCATTGGAAAAATTGTATAATTGGGTCTGACTTGACTTGCAATTGCAACAACCAATGGCAGAAAGATAATATTATTATCCATATACGATAACATTACTTTAGCCAACAGTCCTTTAAATGTATTAGACCAGCTAAAATTTTATACTAATCTTGTAACGTTTGCTTCAGATCTGACTCTTCAACATGCAACCCACAGGAACTGAAATAATAGGATGAAGTATAATGCAAAAAAGAAAATATTAAGTTGAGTGTTTTGATTAAAAGTTCCATTATCCCAAATCACTAAAGAGATGTGAGATGTCTGGTTAAAATATCATCATCTTCCACCTTTACAGTTTTTCAAATAAAAATACTGAGTGTTTTCAAGATTAAGCCAAAGGATCCCCATTTAATACATGCACACTTAAATAGGATTGTTAGATAGAAACGGCATGCACACACAAAATGCAGCATCCAAAAACAATCGCTGACTGACTCTTCATGATTGAACTAATTAAAGTTTCTGACTTTTTATTTTATCTCAATTTGCAGTGAGCCAGAAATTGATTTCCTGCCACAATAAGCCAGATTTATAGAATAACAAAATAACCATGGTGAGCTTTTTGTCTGTTTTCATATATTCATACAAAATCCAGATGGGCACAATACAAAAAACAAACCAGGAGTAAGGAAGGATCCTGGTTTCAGACACAAAACTGAAAAAAAATTTTTTGAAAAATTCTTTCAATTCATGATTTAAATTAAGATTAAGTGGTGAAATTTTTTCCTTGGAGCAGTATTGTATCTTTTGTAACCTATTATCATTGCTAAAAGGGAGTACAGCTTGTTAGTCCAAATCAATATACTTAAAAGTTTGGTGCCCAGAGAAACCAACTCTTCCCTCCTCACAAACACTGTTTCTTAAACATTCAATCTAAGGTAATAGGGGAGCTTGCTAACTGCATTTTTGCTATGAAATTGAAACTGTGTACTATGTTTAATGCAGCAGTCTAGTTACAAATGATATACTATTATCAAAAGAAAATTTGGTCCAGCTTATCTACATCACAATGCATGGAAGGCAGGATGCGTAATTAACCAGGGACTCTACAATATTGACAGATTTTAGGGGGGTCATTATTCTACTAAGTAAACATTTTTAAAGCCTGTAGTATACAATCATGAACATGGGAGGATGTCTGAATCTCCTAGAAACAGCATCAGTACAGACCAAGCATGAAGTAGCTGCCACATTTGAACACAGATATAACTTAATTTTAGTCTTCGGCAGAAATATGCCTATTGCTTCATGTCTACATATTGCCTCAGGGTGAAAAGTATTTCAATTGCAAGATCACAGCGGTTCCTGATTCAGTAATTTTAACTACAAGACTTTTGGAATCAATAGACTGTATATAAGCTCCTTTTCAAATAAACCTATCCTTTCATTTTCTGCAACCTCTTCTAGCAGCGTATCTGCTATGATGCTAGGGAATTTTGGAAGCCACAGTGCCTACACAGTTTGATGCCTCCAAGTCTGAGAAAGCTGATCAAGGCTCCATGCTCATTTCAAGTATTGGTAAACAGATTCAAAAACTTGGTCAGCAATTATTATGCACTCAATTCACATTCCAGGAAAAAAGACCTCAGCAACACTGAGCCAATTTTTACAGACATAGATGAGCAGATGCAGAAGTTTCTCTGTTTCTTCAATCATTGCCTTAGATCTAACTGCTGGACAAAGTGCAAGCCATCATAAAGATACATTATCTCAGACTGTTTACATTAAAAACTGCTGTCACTAGAGGCAAAGGGACTAAATAATATTGGATGAGATTAATTATCAGAATCCACTTCCATCGGATTTCATCCTTTACAGAAAAACTGCTTCAATTACTCTGATGAACTATGTCAGGAGACAGAGATGGAAGAACTAATTCTGGAATATATTCTTGTAGACCTCTCAGCAGTTAATAGTTGCTTTCTTATTCTACACTGTCCTGATTTTTTTAAACATTGAAGAGAAATTTTCTGAAATGGCAAGATGTCACATTTTCATGAAAGGCCAAATCTGATATTTTAGGACCAACAGGACCAAGTCTTAAATATTTATGTGTATATATTCTAGCCATAACACAAACTGTGGAATAAGATGATGTGACCAAAAAGTATTACAGATGGGAAACAACTGAAAAGGAACATCAAGTGCTATGTGGGAATTCCTGTAAATTTACAACATGGAAAGCTATTAATATTTTAGAGAATCTAAAAAGTGAAAATCTTAGCACGAGCATCTACTCTTAATGCAGCTTAATAATTTAGGCATATTGGATCAGGAGTTATTGCAAACAGCCACACGAAGTGCATTCATAGCAATATGTACATTGCATTTTGGTTCAGCATATTAGAAAGTGGTGGGGAAAACTAATTTAAGCTGCAGTTCCCTTATCAAGGATTGGAAGACCTGAGAAACTTTAATATGTGTTCACATTTGGCATGAAAAATATGGGAATCCATTTAATGTGTGAAGACAAATAGCCACCTCATCAGTAATGTGGAGGCACATAATTCTTTAGGCTCAACTAAGCATTTTGATTTTTCAACAAGGGGAGGGACTCCAGATATCCTGGGAAAAAAGGAAGATAGTGTCTGGAGAATTCCTTATGATGAGTTATTTTGTTTTGCTACCAGGCAACTGAATTAGTGTTTCTTCATTCACAGGGGCCCAAGGGGGAAAAAGTACGTATTAAATATTAACATATTTTCTCAGTCATATTTACCCAACCCACCACAGTGAGGAGACAGGGAATATTATAGGTCCCCTGTCCTAAGAAGGTCCATCTAGCAGGACTAAGAAGAAAGATCTTCTCCATGGTGGCTCCCTTCCTGTGGAACATCATCCCTGCAGAGATAAGATTGGTCCCCACTTTGACATTCTTTCAAATGGTCCTGAGGGAATGATTCTGCGACTGGGCATCCCAGAGTGATACGGGGCCATCAAGTGGCTCAGCCAATTGTTGTTGCCAGGGCAATGGGGGTTATTTTTTCTACTGGGAGTTTATTGATATAAGTCACCATAAGTCACCAAGAGTGAGTTAGGCAGCCTTTTAATTCTTCTTAAATAAATAAACATCGCCTACTTCACCAATTTGTTGTGACTAGTACTCATTTCATAATGATTTAAGTTCAATCACTGTTATTTTGATATCATTTTGCCCTGATTTTTTTAAAAATAGTTCAGGAAAAGAAGTTGGGAGTTTAAGGAATAGTAATCAGGCTCCATATACTACTCACAATAGTTCACTTTCAGTTTTCAGCACTGTTGTGATGATCTAATACAGGGGTGTCAAACCTAAGGCCCATTGGGCCGGATCCAGCCCACAGGGTGCTTAAATCTGGCTTTTGGGACTGGCCTGGAAATAGCAAAGAACCAGCCCGCAGTGCCTCTGCCACCAGAAACAGGGCTGATCCAGCCCTTGAAGAAATCCAGTTTAACACCTGATCTAAAAGAAGGTTAAATTGAATCCAGGTACATGAATAAACTTGCTTTTAGGTTAAATTTAACATAGACTTTGAGAGCAGCTTTAAGAGATCCCATTCATCAATAACAAACTTCTCAAGATATATTCAATTTATAGGATATCAAATGTAATGTATGAAATGTAACTAGTCCACTGCTTATTCCCAAATTCAAGGAATAAATTTGTCTTGGTAACCCAGTTTTATAAGACACTCAAATACAGTGGCTTACTCCATAAAAAATAGGGCCAACAATACAGTTCATTTGAATTTTATGTAGCATGCTATGTAACCACTGTTCCAAAACAGTGAATGCATGAATTTGTTTGCTATTATGTTGAGCTTCTTTTATCAGGTATTGCCTGATAAACGCAGGAAAAGCAGCAGTGACTTTTGAGCTCCTGTCTTTGTACCTTTTCATTCTCTAATGAAAAATAGCTATCCTAATTTCATTCTTACAGGACTAGAAAGATTTTAAAGTGCATGATCTCATGATTCATTTCCTTTTCATGTGTAACATAGGACTCAGACTTTTGATACTTAGGTCTCATTGCAATTCTATGCAAAGAAATCCTAAGGGAATAGAATTTTCTATACTATATTATATGAATTAAGTTAAGGCTAGTGCTAATTGTTAGCATTCAAAGTATGAATTTTGCCTGATCTGAACTACCTCTTCATAACTACTTTACCTTTACAAATTATTTAACAGATATAAAATTAAATGTCCCTGTTTAGATGTAAAAGTCTATAGAGATTCTCAGCCATCCAGGTCATGGTTGTCCCAAAGGTGCTTTTTTC